TTTCATTTTTCATGGCTACTGAGTTATCTTCTAATTCATTCATATTTTTTAGCTAAAAAATAAAAGATATAGTTTAATTTACTAAAATATGCAGATATTATTTTTTTATTCAACACACTTCTAAGAAACCCAAAACTTCAACAAATATTTTACTTATAATTTTTTTGATTTAATAGAATTTGTAATTACTAAGAAATTAAATAATTATTTTAATTTCATTATATTTATTAATAACGGTTATAAGCCCAATTGATATACAATAGTTTTCTAAATTAACATTCTGAATAAATATACATAAACATGTACCCACTAAATAGGATAAAAAAGAAAAACAAATTTGTAATTTGGCTATAGTAACATACAACAATTAAAGTAGGAATTTATAATTAAATTATACAATTATGAGTTTACTAGTAGCTTGAAAATCTGTTAATTAAAGATTGAGTTACATAACAGATTTAAATCTAAATTTTAAAATAGACAAGATTATTTTTTTTTTTAAATATACATAAGCTAAAAATATTACAAATTATATGTACACCATTTCCTTACATTAAAAGATCTTAAATTACGACTACACTAATTTAAAGTATGCCAATAAAAATATATAGGTGTTCTTTTTTAATTCCAAATCATTTAAGTAGTAAGTTACCTCATTTTCATGATCAGCTAAACCATTTGAGTCTTGGGTTTTGTTCTCAGTTCCATTTGAATTTTTTTTTTCCATTTTCATCTAGTCATTAAAACAAAATAGAATAAAATAAATACATTTAATATAATACACATACTGATATATATTTACTATAGTAATTATATTAATGGTTAAGACATAATTCTAAGTATCTATAAATAACTAAATAAATATGAGTAATTTATCAAAAATGAAAAAATTACTATACCTACTAAAATAAAATATCCAACTGAATATTTTTATTGAGGCTTATTGTAAAAGCAAAATTTAATTTAAAAAAATGTTAACATTGTGCAATTTTCTTAAAATTCATATGAACGGATAATGTTATATAACAATATATCAAATAATTTAGCATCGCAGACATCGTCTTAGTTATGAGTGATACATTTTTTAATGTAGTTACAAATATTTTTAAAGAAAGTATTTTAACTTTTAAAATTAATTGAATTTTTGATTGATTGATTTATTTTAAACCAATGTTATTAATTCAATCTACAATCTATGATAATCACTTTGTATGGTATGTGTTTAAAATAAAAACATAACATTAATTACTACAGTACTTTATTCAAAAGTAATTATTTTTTGATGTTTTAAAATAGATGCAGTCAAGATTTAACAAAAAATTAAATAATTTACTATTAAGGTATATAATAAGATTTTATTAAGAGCGTAATATCAAATAATATCAAAAACACAAGCTTTTATTTAATCACTAGCTATTAAAATAATTTATTTTTTATGCATGAGCAACAACTTAAGTATAATAGAGAATAATCAGATTTTATAACGAAAATATGTTTATTATTACTGGTTTAAACAAAATAGAAAAATTATGTAGGTAGTAGATATTAATACAAACCTTTAATTCTTTTTCATCAGCATTCACAGAAGAAATTAGTTTTTCCAATTCATCATAAACTTTTTCAGATTTCCGTGAAAAATCGTTTTCAGAGTCAGATGACATTATCCTAAATTAAATTGAAATTTAAGTCAACAACATTCCTTTACAGATCTAAAACAGTTACAAATTCTAATGTTAGCAGTTTACTATCTTGGGATGTATCATTACTTCTTTCAAATTCAGGAGTCTTGAGGATGAAAGGTAATCAATATTCAATAGTTATTGTATCCGTACTCTATACACATTACACATATATTACAACATTCAAAATATTAATAGTGAAAACTATAATTATATGATATATTTCAGAAAAATACACAATATTTATTAAAAATGTGCATTGTACATTAACTCATCAATTGATCGAAAAATCATAAAATGTAAAATTACAGCTGTAGGCACTAGGCGGCGAATGACATAACAATTTTCTAATAAATACAGTTGAAAACCACAGGTAAATAACAACGAAATTATGAACCATAAATATTAAGATTATATTGATGTGCAAAATTATAAACACTTAAAATTAAAACTTAAAAGGAAAAATATTATTGCAATAACCAATAATACTTATGGTTATTACTTATTATTTACTTGCCGAGGCATAATAGTGCATTGATATTTGATAAGCTGTGTGTTGATAATATCGCCATTTTGAGTTTTGAGAGTAAAGTTGTACACAACACAATATTTTCTCCAAGAAATACATTTTTCCATGATTTTATACATAACACATTTTTAATTAGGTATAATTTCAAAATCTAAATATTAATACGTCATATTTTGTAAAATCTAAAATAATGTCGCCATGTCGCCATCATTATATTAAAAATAAGTAACAACTATAACACACACCAAGTTTGAATTAATATATTTTATAAATACGAATACTTCAATATAAATATTATTTTAAATTATTTTAATTTATCATAGTATTATCAATGAATACTCAAAGTCCAATTTTGAGGAAATTAAATAGGTATTGAGTTTATATTATAATCGATTTTGAGTTATTACTTATTAATTAGTATTTACCAATATATAGTCGCTTACAAAATTCATTATTAGACCGAATGAGATATTTATACTTTATTCAGGTATTTAATTATGGTTTACGAATCGAAGCTTCTAATTAGGTAACTACATTGCAATTGTCAGGCATCTATCGATTTACCTAACCTAACCTAACCATAAGTTCTTAAGGCGGATGTCCACTATGCACGTACGCGTGTACGTGCAGAAAAATGGTTTGCTGTGATTGGTTGGTATCCATGGTAAGCTTTTGGTATTCTAGTGTTTTCGAGCCGAGTTTTGAATACACCGTGTTTCGCTATCATACACGTAACATTTTGGAAGTGGACGTTTTGTAGTGTCTTGGTTACTTAGAAATACAATTGTATTACCACACGGTATAAAGTTGAATCAAATTCAATTTTGTGGTATCATTGGTAAACTCGGCATACCATGAATGGATACCAGTTAATACCTGCTTTCAAACACGTGGTTCAGCCAACCCAGAATCGAATCGAATCGAAAATTATATGTCATTTGTGCACGTACACGTGAACGTGTATAGTGGAAACCCGCCTATATGCAAATGTGAGGAACACGGTTCACTGTGTATTGGAAACTTGGCTTCATATTATTTACTCATTTATACATATACATATACATATATGTATATATATTTATTCTATTTACTCATTCGTATACTACAATTTAGACCTTAGTGGCTTAGTATATGAAAGGGGATTCACAACTCGCCGTGTCGTGTAGAGTTGAATATTATATTCAACTTGTAGGTATCTTGTAACGAACATTTTGTTACCAATGTACCAAACCACTGACTTTTATTCTGTAACCAAATTACCAACAATTTGGTATCTACCTATTGGCTATTAATATGAATTATGAAGAGCAGACAAGCAGAGATCCACATTATAGTTTTCATGTAGGTATATTATATTAAAACATGAATATTATTATGGAGACTAGTGAACAAGTATAAAAAATATAATATATTAATACATGTAAATAAATTGGATTGCCGCCGACTTCGACGAGGAGAAATAATACTAGGGTAGGTAGGTAATTGTAATAATTTTACACTAAGCAGTTCTTTATTTTATTTTTTGTTTTCAATCTTCAAAAACTTAAATAATTGGGAATTTTCAGTCGTAAAATTAAATTAAATCTAATCTGTGATTATACACTTATGCTATTATATTTATAGATTTTTTTTATTTTATACCTATACTCAAATACTCGATTGTCGCCGTCGAAATGTCGAATCATGAGTCATAACAAAATTTATATTTTCATTATTTCGATAAGACATTCTTGAAATTTATTGCAGTATTGCTGACTGTTCAATTGTTGTACTATTGTAGTGGTAGATGGTACTATATCGGCTATTAAATAGTGCAGTAATTTATGCGGCCATACAGATAAACTGCTGCTCTGTAATGTAATACCACAGAATAGATTAAATCTTTAATAGGTAATACTGCACTATGTAATGTTATGAGTTAATAAATTGAAATATAAAATTAGTATTTGATTGGAAATACAGATACAGATGCTTTGATAAAATGTTAAGCAGCTTATAAAAGTATTTGATCATGCCAGTACCTACCAGTTAGTATATGTAAATGGTATGTATCTAAATCATCCAATGCCAATAAAGTATAAAATATATATTAAATAACACAAAATGTATACTGGTATTCAGACATTCACCAACTAATTTCTGATAAATGTTTAGGTACCTATGGGTTATAGTAGACACTAGAAAGCCTGGGTAAAATAATGATTAGTTGTATAGGTGAGGTACCCAGGGTAGGTAGTGCCCTGAGCCCCTAATAGGTATCGAATCAATGGGTATTATTTGCTATTAAGTTAAAAAAAAATTTGTAAAGTTGAAAAGAAACCAACGTCTTAAAGGAAAATACAATTTTTATTATCTTCTAATGAAAGTACCGAAACACAAGGTTTATAGAGTGTCATAAATCATAATAGTATAAGAATAATAATGATAGAATATTGTGCAATAAACCTAGAAAAAATCCACAAATAATGTTTATAATTATATAGGTATAATCGCAAATGAACCCTCAACTTATTCCCTTATGTAATATTCAGCGACTTACCGTGAATGGGGGAAGTTGTGATAATATTATGTTGACGTTATTTTCGTTATCACTTATCAAGGCAACGTGCGTGATCTATCAGATTATATTCCGTGATCTAAGGTTGTAAAATGGAAATTATTAACTAATCTTAGACATACAGAAATTTATATTATATAACGATATTCTTAATTGTTATAGTTAAATTGTTTAGACATTTTGAGTTTAGGTTCCTTTACATATCATGCTTGTGACGTAGTAATACAATGTAATATTATATTTTACTTCAATTTAATTCCTACACTTGTTGAATAGTTTTGTACCTATTACTTGTTTATTAATTCTAATTATAATATACTCATATCTTCGAGTTATCGACTAATTGTTCTATATTATGATTATTTATTTACATCATTGTTGAATTGTTTTTAATATTTTCACTTATTTAGTCTTATAATTTTATTTACATTAACATTTTATTCAGAGAATGTTTTACTTTTAACATGAATTATCAAAATGGATTGCAGACCTTGGTCAAGAGAATCAAAAAAGAAGTAAGTTTTGTAGTATAAGTAAAATTGTAAAATAATGTATTTTTCAAACCAATAGTAAGCGGCTATTTTAATTTGTTTCAACAATTATATTTGTATAAAAATTATAAATATATCTAGTACAGTATAGATAATAAAAGCATCAGGACTAGATATTGATGTTTGTCCTAAAAATCCTTAAGACATGCCTTTATAAGAAGTGTTTAAAAAAAATTACAAACATCACCTATTATATATGTTATATATATATATTATATATATGTTTTAATATAAACATATTTTGTTTTTAAATAGGTATTATTTAAAAAATTATATGTTACACCTAGTTTTATATTTTAATTGTTTAGATAAGTATGAAGTGAAAATTGAATCAAAATTTACTATTTTTCTGAATGTAGCATATGTACTATGAATTAAGTTATTTCTTAGTTTGTGATGTGTACTTCCCATTAGATTCATCTACAAAATAATATTTTTAACATGAACTAAGATGATAACTATCTTAGTTCATGTTTTTAACTCAGAATGAAGCCAGTATCCATTTACCTATAATTTTTATATTTTATTGTCACAAAATATACCTATATCATGTGACATGCATGTATTGTTATATTTCAAATATTCTAACATTCCATTCAAATGTATAAATATAAAAAATATGAAGAGTGCGAAACATTTTTATTAGATCACTAGCTGATCCTCTGCACTTTGCTGCCCATTAAAAAATTAATAGTGCTAACTCTATATGAATAATATGTTTTTTTTATAATATAGCAGTTAAAATATACTAAGTAATATCGTTACAACAATATTCAAATTATTTTGGATCATTATGTATTTTTATTCCTTTTTTAGAGAAAAGTCTGACAATTTATGTTTTCTATTAAATTGCGTTTGAATACACAATATTTTTTAATTTTATAATATATATATATATATATTTATATTATTGTATTATTATTATTATTTTTATAAACCAATAGCAATCTTATATAAACAAAAAATGTCCATCATAAATCTCAAAATGTCTGTTTGAGCATCTTCCGGGGTTGGACCTCTCCCTTTTTAAATTAATCTATCATCTTCCCAGAGGTCTAATCTATCTCTGTACCAAATTTAATCGCAATCAGAAGAACAGGCAGACATTTGTGTATTCATAGAATATGCTATTGAATACAATTTTTGAATTGAAAATCATCTTTGTATTAAATTAACAAAAAAAATCACATAATTCTTAATATTTTATAGAGAAAATTACTAAAAAAAAAATAAAAATAAAAAAATAAAAATAAATAACAAAATACAAACAAGTAATTTGGATTATTTTTATATAGTATATTTTGTTTTTTGCAGGTGGCAAGATTCAAGTATCGATCGATTAAAAGCTAGTAAAACAGTATGGCCTATTCCTCAAATCGAACAAGTTTTTTTGCCAGATTTTAAAATCAAATCTCAAATAAATGAATATTCATTTAAGGTACTTATCTAACTAAGAAATCAGATGTTTCATTTGAAACAATTTTAGATAATATTTTTCAAAACTTATTGAGTAATTTTTAAACAACTTGTCAATCCTAATAACTGACTTTCAACTTAATTAATTAGTACCTATCATTGTTTGAACACTTAGCTAATACTATAAAACAAACAATTGTTTAAATATAGGTACTAAGAATATATTGTTCTGTATTATATTTATTGGGTGTTCATAGTTGAAGGTAGTTAACATAAAGTATATTTTTAGAGCTTAGAATTCATTTGTAATGGTGCATTTGGAAAAGTCTACAAAGTTGAGAAATTGCATTCAAGTGGTGATTTATATGCTATGAAAATATTGGAAAAATCATCGGTAACTAAACTACAATTTAATTTTAATTTGTGTAAAATTATGAGTACTAAAATAATTTTGAGTATAATTAAAATGTATTTACAAATAATAGGTTGTGTGTGAGAATGGAGTACAACAAGTTAAGAATGAAGTACAAATTCAATCATTATGTGGTCATCATCCATTTATTGTGAATTGTCCATTCTTTTGGCAAAATAGAAATCAATTGTTCATTGGTGAGTTAATTATTAAATATATGTCACAAACGCAATTGATTTTTTTTGAATTTGTTACTTGCTGAATTTTTGTACTGTTTTTGTTTTTATTATTTGTAAACATTAATACTAATTTTTATAATTTTTAGTTAGCGAGTATGTTGGAGGCGGTGAATTATTGAAACTATTACAAAAATATGGACCATTACCAGAAGAATTATGTCGTGTATATTTTGCTGAATTAGTTGTTATAATAGGTATTATACATAGACTAATAAATACTTTATATTATTAATAAATTATAACTAATATTTAATGTAACACTATTGAAGTACATGTTGAAAATTTAGTTGTATGATATTGTTTAAATGTCTTCCATTCCGTAGAAATATTTTCTAACTTAACAGATGATAGCTCAGTGGTGTGTTAAATTTAAATTGTTAAAAGCTAAACATTTTAATTCATAATCACCATAATTAAACTTGGTTATCATCTACCATTCTAATCATATAATTAACTTACTATATTCAGATCTTATACTGTCATAAAATTTACCTATCAAATTTTGATTTTTTTTCTCAATACTAATGTTACTTTAAATTCGTAACTTATAGTATAAACCTCATAACTCTACTCTGTCCAGAGAATGAACCTACGGATTCTGCTGCTCATCCCCCCATGTCATCCTGCTATCAAAACCGATTCTCCTATGGCAGGGTGTTGAGTAGGGAAGTGCAAAAGAACTTATTTTGGTTGGGCAGCTGTGTGTTCTCTCACTGAACAGAGTATAGTCAGTCCTAGTAATGTAGCAAGTGTTTCTCCTGAACCTCACTTAAATTATGTTGTACCAAAGTGTTCATCGTGTTTCTTTACTCCTAATACAAATATACACTGAGTGTAGTTTAATTCAAGTGTTCATATGGTTTTCGTATTAATATTTAATCAATGTTTTTTTTTTGTTTATTGGTTTTGTAAACGCTTTATGCAAGTCAAATTAATCATTTTTCTTATAGGTTGAAATAAAAGTGTGTTCAATTTTTATAATTATTATTAGTTTTTCATCTTACAATAATTTTTAATATCATCATGTGTATCTTTTTGTTGAAGTTTTTATTTTTAATTCACATTATTAAGGCATATTATGATATATAATATTTTATTTCATATGATGTTCTTAAAATATTTGTGACTTGTGTATAACAAATACATATTGAGAATATTTGTAGGTTGGTTAGACTGTTAGAGCATAATAGTATTATAGTTTGACATTTTTTAAACACAAACATATGTACCTTCAAATAACAAGTACTTCTTTTGCCATACCACTAGACATGTTGACCCTACTGATACACTTTTCACCACTTTTAAAGTAACAAAATGCAGACTTCAATTGCATGTTTCTTTATTTTGTGTGGGGTATATATGTTATACCTAATTTATAAGATTTGAAAAATATTGCATGCTAATTTTAAAAAGCCAGACTGGAATTCTCCATATTGCCTCTCCCCGGGCTCCTAAATTAAAAAAAAAACTTTTAAATTTTTATTTATTCCTTCTTGTTCAATAATTAATCAATATATTTTATGAATAAATAAAATATAACTGTAGTCTCATACAATAATACAATATATGAATTATGTGAATTTTTAATAATAATTAAGAATTGTATGGATTATTTCAATATTTTACTTTCATGTATTATGTATCAGATCAATAAAATGTTTTACTTAATTTTAAATAATATAATAATATAATTCGTCTTTAAAAGTGCTCAAAAAACTACTGATTTTTTTTATCAATAAGTAAATCTAGTACTTAATACTAATACTTGCAACAAACTGTTTTATGTTAATTTAAAAGGGGTTTTCAATATTTTTTTGTTAAATAATTCTTTTATTTCTATACAAAATTATTGTAAATAATTTAAATTTGTATAACTCTTTTCATAACCAATCTATCCATAACATAACTAAAAGTTTTAAATCATTTTAGTAATTTAATATTGAAATTGGAAGATGATCTTTATAATTTTTGGAGTTGATACGAGTTGATACGTTTTATACAAGGTGATTCATAAAACTTTTTCACACTTTTTTTTCTTCAAAGTTTAAATTATACATGTATTCAAATTCTGATTTTTGGGATTTTAATGTTTACTCAAGAAATATATTTAGTAACATTTATATTTTTTATACTGTTAATGAAGTGTCCTGTGGCAATGCCATATCCTTTTTTTTATGTGAATGCCTTGAAATGGTTAAACAGATGATTTTTTGAAAATATTGATGTAATGATGTAACTAAATAAAAATTCAAAAGTATAGTTGCTCAGTTATTGAAATCTAAATACTTATTATAGTGCCTAAAGTATAGTTCTTAAAATTTTTCAAAAATATAAGATATTTATAGGTAGGTATACTTACCTAATATTTATTACACTCAAACAATTTTACAAATTATAAAATCTTGATCAATTATAGATAATTTTCAAATCATAATAGCTAACTCCCTTATCTTTATTATCCTTATTCCTTATTATAGAAAGTTAAATAACTCAAAATGTCTTATTTAAATTTCAAATTAGATACATAAATATATTTTTATAAAAAAGGTAAATGTTATTTGCAATTTATGAGGATAAAATGGTGATTCTGATTTGATACAAGAAATGTATCAGAATACTCTTCTTAAACTGTAAATACTAGTTATTTATTTGAAAACATAGTCTTTAAGTATACTTGGTAATAAAAATTGGATTGATATCATTCAATTTAGAAATGTGAGATTATGCTTTTTGTTTTTTACTGGAATTTGTAGGTAATAATTGTATAATTAATACAATTAATTATCAACTATGATTATTTTTTAAGTATGAATGAAAAAGGAAGATAATTACTGATAAAATATCAAATAATTTTAATTTTCTTACAATAAAAAAATTATGTCAAATTGGGTTATATTATATTTTTGACATATCTAAGTATATTTTAATATTTATATTTTATTACAGATTTCTTACATAATGCCGGAGTTATATATAGAGATATAAAACCAGAAAATATATTATTAGACGATCATGGGCATCTTCAATTGATTGACTTTGGTCTTTCTAAATGGCTTCCACAAGGCTGTCATACATCTACTATTTGTGGAACTACTCAGTATATGGGTTAGTTATTTTGAACATTTTTAGAATAATTTACATAATATATAGCTTTTCTTTATAGCTCCAGAAGTTTTAGAGTCTGAACCGTTTTATAGTCACGCTGTAGATTGGTGGTCCGCTGGAGTGCTCTTATTTCAAATGCTAACAAATCAGGTAAAATTTAAAGTTTTTAAATTTATGAGTAATATAATACATTATAATATTTATTTAATTTATTCACTTTAATGGTTCTTTTATAATTTTTAATAAATAATATTTTTTAAAACGTTTTCTATATTGTGTTATCGCGAGATATTATTTTTATATGAATGGGTGAACTGGTTTTTTTAAACTTGTATAATTTTAATCGGTATACAAGTAGGCATTCGATAAACATTTCTTTAATTTTTATTTTTATTGTTCATTATTGACTACTTGAGCCTACGCCAAGTGAAGCTCACGATCTCATTCATTATTTTATCTGGTTGATAAAATCTCTTTGAACTAGAATTAAATTTATCATCGCACGTCGTACGAATTACTACAGCAATAGGCGATAAGAAAAAAAAATGACCATAAAGCTGATCCCGCTGTGATCTCACGGCAGTCGACAACCCGCGGGCGGTACACGCACAAAATTCCTTTAAAAAAAAAACGCAACGGCGACTGCCAAGAGAGGTGAATAACCAGTTCTGAACTTGAAGTCCAATTTCAAAACCGGTCCGTTTGACCTCCGTCGTAGACGGCTGTTATCCCATGTTATTTTACAGCTATAATAAAATGTTTATTAAAACGCCTTACTCACTGATTTAACACACTTAGGTTCGTTTAACATAATTATGTTACATCAGCCGTCCGCATGCTTCGTATGTAGGTATATACATAGTTTATACTTTTCATGCTCGTGCTTGAAATGTGTTTCCAATGTCAATAGGTACATGAATAATATCGACCGTTGGGAATTATATTATAATACAATTGTCTGGGGATAAATCTACAAAATACTAATTATTATTGTTAATTATATAATTATAATATTATGCCTTTTCTATGGTAAATATAAACCTTTCGCATTTGAAAAATGCATATGCTCATATTATAACGGTAACATTTATTATAGGTGGTGTATAGTATATCTACCGAAGTAGTAGTTTGTATTATATTATTCTGTTGGTGAGTATGTTATTATATGTTTATATTTTACGAGGGCAAAAAGTTGACAGTGCAGTGATCGATGTTTTAACGTCATAATATCCATAGCCAAATTTTTGAATGTCGAAAAAGTCATATGAAATATTTTTTTTTCTTTTGTTACACTACGTCACTTCTATTATTGAAGTCCATAGGCATCAACTAAATTATGAAGGCACAAGTTGATAAATGTTCCGTACACGTTAACAAGTTCCGTTTGTTTTGTTTTTATTTTTCACACACAACCAAGCAAAGTACCATTATTTTTAATTTAACATATAACCGTGTGGATTGTTTGAATGGTTTAGCATATTATTATTGTTTCCATTGTATCTACCCCCAACGGATTAAAACAATAAAAACCAATTTATTAACCAAGGTGGGTTATTTGTGTTATCCGTGTACACCCCATGAGTCGTGACCTGTGAAATTAATGTTGGTCACATTTCCATTATATTATATTTTTCGTATTTTTACTCGTAAGTTATTGGAACATAGACTATTGTTTTAATTGACGACCCGGATGTACCTAAATTGCCTATTCAAAACGCCTTCTTAAATCGTTTTCTTAGTAATTATAATTTGTTGACAATTGTTTATGTGTGTTTTCACATACTATATTTTATTATATACTCATTTATTTCTCACGCGTACGCACACGTCTTGTGGATGTTATGTTGTTAGGTATAGTTGTATAATACTTGCATAATTATACAATCGTGATTTTTCTGTTTTGCTATGATGATGTAGAGTTAATTGAGTAATTATATACCAATTGGCAATTACTATCTTATCTGTTTATTTTATGAAAATCAATGATCAAATAAAGGATTTATAAAAACTAAAATAAAAAAACACAATTTTAAGAAATCGCGTATAATATTCTATTGTTGATGTATGACAATCCGTCATTGTATAATAAATTAGGTACATAATGTGTAAATAGTTAAATACTATAATTTAACAACCTAATAGCTAAATAGAAACTTAAAACTAACATAGTATTCATGTTTTTGTTCATTTAAATTATTATAAATAAGTTGCCTATAAATAAATTATTTATAAATTGATATCACACAGAAGAATGACTGAATAAATAGCAATTAATTTCACTACAAATTGTTTCCATTGTGAAAAATTGTTATGATTTATATATATATATAAAAATTTTTTTTAAATTAAGTCTAATTAGAAATGAACTTCACCAGTTCATGATTTTTTTTTTTGTTGGGAATGGCACTATAGACGTACATGATTTTTTATATTAAATTTGTCTGACAAATATTGTTGTTTATTTGTTCTGGACGTTATTCTGGTCCTTTTGGTGGTTGGTTCGTTTATATTGCTATTCAGTCTTGTCATTTTTGATTACCTAGTTTGCTTTCTTTTGTTTTTGTTTCTTCATAATTGAGTCAGTGGGCTTCTTTTCTTTGGTCGCATCCCGTTTGTTTACGGAGTGTTGTTCCTTTTTTTCGTCACTTGCAGATTCTGGTTTTTTTGGTTCTTCCGCCGCACTTTGTTCTGTCGGTTTCGGTGCTTCAGCTGGTACTTCAGATTTTGGTTGTTCGGCTGGTTTTGCTGCTTCGGCAGGTTTCTGTTCTTCAGCTGGCTTTGGGTTTTCTGCGGATACCAGAGCGCCTGATTTTTGGATATCTTCGGCAGGTTTAGCTTCAGATTGAACAGCTGGTTCTGCGGAATTTGCTTCTTTGGCAGGTTCAGCGTTCTTTTCAGCTTCAGGTGCAGCTACTGGATCGGCAACTGCAGGTACAGTATGTGCTGCAGATACTTCAGGCACTGCGGGTACTGCGGGTACTGCAGGTGATACCTTGGTCTCAGAAATTTCACTGGCAGCGGGCACAGCGTCTTCCACTAGTTTGGCGGATTGTTGCTCAGCTGGCTTGGATGGTTCTTCAGCAGCTTTGTTTTCAGTTGACGGAGCAGATGCAGAGGGTTTGGCTTCTTCGGCAGCAACTGGGGCGGCAGCGGGAGCAGCAGCTGGATCTGCTTGTGCAGCTGCAGGGGCTGCTTGTTCAACTTGATTGGTTTCGATGGATTGTTGGGTTGCTTTTCCGTCTTGTGTTTCAGTTGGGTTGAGTGGTAAAGCTACAGGTACCTCGCTGTTGGGCTTGGCTGCTTCTGGTTCAGCTTTTAAGTCACCGGTAGGTTTGGATTCTGGCTTAGCTTCAGAAATCAATTCAGTTTCGGCCTTGACATCAGTTGCTGGTTTATTTTCACTTACTGGGGCTGCGGCGTTTTCTGATTTAACATCATTATTTGTGGCTGGCGCGACTGCGTCATTTTCTGGTTTGGATTCAACAACAGCTGCGGGTTTTGAGTCGCTTTCTGGTTTTGATTCGCTGGCCACAACAGGCTTTGCATCACTTTCAGGTTTTGGTTCACCGCCTGAAGGTTTTGGCTCACTTTCAGCCTTAACTTCGCTGACAGTAGGCTTAACTTCGGCATCTGCAGGTTTGGAATCGCTTTCGGGCTTAGCATCGCTCACCGGTGAAGCTGCATTAGTTTCTGGTTTAGCTTCTACTTGCTTTTGAGGTACTGCTTCAGATGGTACTGCGGGTACTGCTGGTGCTACTTCACCAACAGGCATGGATTGGGTGGTCCAGAAGAGAGCTCCGAACAGGCATAGTCCCAAGATTATAGTTTTCATTCTGTAATAAATCGTTTACAGTATTAAACTTATAAATTTATACAAAGTATGTTTTGGTTAATTTTATAAAATAAAATAATTTTAAATTAAATTAGTACATTTAAGAATGTATTGTTTTGATATAAATGAATTTAACCTTTTAATCATTTAAAAGACAACCTCTAATTTAAAACAATATAGACGGGTCGTTTATACTTAGCGAAACATCAAGAAACCCCACATTCTATATAAATGAATTAATACACATTTTTTTCAATTTATAATATAGAACATATTAGTTTTGAAAATCTCGATGACCTATACATGAGTATTATTTATTCAACGACCTTCTTTTGATTAGTAGTTTTTCAATTATATGCACCTGTATTATCTTTATAGCTGTAGTATTTTCATTTGTTGTGATTCCGATAGATTTCAAAAATCGGCATTGAAAAAAATCAATGGATTATTTAGGTTAAGAATAAAAATACAATTCTATAGTTATATTTGAACACAATTAATAATATTGTTTTAAAATTGGGTTGAGGCCATTTTATTTCAATTAGTGTATTATAGTATTACTTAATTCAAATTTAATTTTTATTTTGTTTTTAAGTATAGATTATTTTTTTTTGTTTCATTGATAAAATATTTAAAATTTTAAAATTCGAAATGGTATTATAATATATTTATATATTATACTATAAGATGTCATAGGCTATTTTATTAAAATTTCTTTTTCATAATTATTTATGAATATGTACTTCAGGACAGTGTCTATTAAATCTAGGTAGCGTTTTATAGCGTTTATTAAGATAAAAAAAACTATAACAACTAGGTAGTTAAATTTACTTTTAGTATAAGACGTATTCATTTCTAATTTTTATACTTAATCCAATTGTTGAATATTTCCTTTTCGAGTAATACAAATTTAAAACTTATAACATCCTATAGTTGAAATCTATAAGCATTCCAGAATATGTTCTAAATAATGAATTTCAGTACAATTCAACATATTGAATTATATTTCTTGATTTTCATGTGTTACATACATATATGTGCATGCGGTTATTAAGCTACATTTTTTTTTTTGAGAAAAATATAAATTCTGTTTCAGCCTGAGAGCTTTTAGTTTATTATTATTTTTTGAACATTCATTTATAATTTGTTTTATTTTAGCTATATTTATGTATGTATATTATATATTTTTTTAAATTCAGTTATTATTGTTTTGCAAATTTAAATTAAATTTAATCTTCTGTATTTTAATAATATATCAAAACAAAGTAAGATGAAATGTTTATTTTTTAATTTATAAAAGTTATTTTACTGTTAATTA